TGGAGGGACCTGCACAGTACATTACGGTATCGTCCGCATAAAAATGTAAAGTAGCTTCATCCACATTTTCACCTAAACTGTTGATATATATGGAGAATAAAAGTGGACCTAAAACAGAACCTTGGGGAACACCATTAGCAATGTTTAACCACTCAGAAGACAGCCCATCAAAGTGAACACATTGGGACCTTTCAGAGAGGTAGTTCACAAACCACCCCACTGCATGGCTGGACATGCCTATACTGGTTAGCCTCTGCTTTAAAATGCGATGATCGACGGTATCAAACGCTTTGGAAAGGTCAATAAATAGAGCTGCACAACTCTGCTTATTATCTAAAATACTCGCCACATCATTCACCACTTTCATTGTGGCAGTGATGGTGCTATGTTGTTTTCTGAAGCCTGACTGATGTTTAGACAGGATGTCATATTTGTACATAAAAACACCTTTACCTGTTCACTCACTAAGCGTTCAAGAACCTTAGCCAGAACTGACAACTTAGAGATTGGCCTATAGTTATTTAATAAGGTGGCCTCCCCACCTTTTAGCAAAGGCAGGACATACGCTGACTTCCACAATTTTGGAATTGTGTTAGTGCTGAGGGAGAGGTTAAAAAGAGTAGTGAGAGGTGGATCAATACAATCTGCAGCTATCTTTAAAAAGAAAGGTTCTACGTTGTCCGGGCCAGCCGGTTTCTTAGGATCTAACTTGGTTAAAGCTTCACGAACAATACCAATAGTAAAAGGGGTAAAACTAAAAGGGTTTTCCAACACACGTTTTTCAGAGTCACATACTGTAGTGTTCACAGAAGCAGAGTTAGTGACAGAATCAAATAGAGAACCACAGGACACAAAATGCTCATTAAAGCAATTTAGCATAGTAGCCCTGTCCGATATAGTGCCAGATACTGTGGTAATGCACGGAGGTAGCTCATTACGGATATCGCCGGTGGATAACGATTTAATGGCTTTCCAAAATTGTCCAGGATTATTCAGATTCTTTGTAGTTACTGACAGATAGTACTTTGATTTAGCACTTTTGATTTGCGATGTGAAGCTATTCCTTAGCTGCCTAAAACGCAGCCATTCTACCTCTGAGCCTGATTTCCTAGCCTTTGCCCAGGCCTTGTTTCTCTCATGAAGGAGACTGGACAGATTAGCAGAAAACCAAGGATTGTCTCGTCCCTTTACTCTAAATTTACGCAGGGGTGCATGTCTATCAATGATCTCCATAAAACCAAGATACAAATAATAATTTCTACATCAGCACACAGATCGATTTTACCCCAATCAAAATCAAACAGATCATGCACAAAATCCTGCTCCCTAAAATGTTTTTTGTCTCTCTTAATGATAATGCGAGGTTTAACCTTTTGGACCTTAGTGTCCCTAATTGTGGCTACAACACAGTGATCACTCAGATCATTTGCAAATACTCCCACAGATGAATATTTATGGGGAACATTAGTTAAAATGAGATCAATTAGGGAGGATTTATTAGGGGACTTAATGTTAGGGCGAGTAGGACTGTCTATAATCTGAGTAACATTTAAAGAGATACAAAGGTTTTTAAAATCCTCTGACACTGCAGTTAACCAGTCCCAGTTAAAATCTCCAAGTAGCACTATTTCCTTGTAGTCTAGTTGTGATAAAATATTTGCTAGTGAAGACAAGGAGTCTTTGACAGCTGAGGGGTGTCTGTAACAGCCCACCACCATGACCTGTTGACCCTTTGCCACTTCTATATTTATGGCTAAAAATTCAAATTGCTTACTGATCGATTTGGAAACTAATGTGGTTACACTGAACTTATTCTTAACATAAATGGCAACGCCACCACCTTTATTAGGCCGGTCGGTACGATACACATTAAAACCATTTAAGGCAATGTCAGAGTCCAAAATAGATTTGTTTAGCCATGTTTCTGATAAAACAATGACGTCAGCGTCAGTTGAGCTCGCCCAGATACGGACAAAATCTAGTTTACCTAACAGACTGCGCACATTCAAGTGGATGAAACCCAACCCAGACCTAGCTTTAAAATCAGCAGGAGTAGCGATCTGACTACTACTACTGGGCGGACCAGGGTTAGGTTGTACATTTCCTGACAGTAATAACAACAACAAAAAACAGGCATCTTTTCCTCTTAAACGACACACATACATTGTCATCTAATTTAGAAACACCGGAAAAGTCTGCGAGAGTGTGATTTGAGCTTAAGAAGCAGTCCTGAAGAACCATCATCGCAGGAAAACAAAAAAGACAAACATATTTTGTCGAGCAGATTGTCTGTGACAAGGCAACCGGTAATTGTTTGAGCAACACATCCAAACCTTTGCAGGGGATGCCCACTGCGGGTGGCAGAACAGACCTGAATCCAGTAGTCTTCTCAGAATGACTAGAGATCTTCTCATGGTCCAAAACAGTTAACAGGCACAGCAGAATCCCGATATGGGCCATTTTCCCAGACCAGCACACAGTATCCGCGATGTTCCTGGAGCAAAATCAGCACAGCAGCAAAGGACAGGCGAAAACAGCAGCGTGGAAGCGCTCCGGTCCCTCCGTGGTATCCCCGGGGTGAAAGCAGGCCTCTGCAACAGCAGAACCAGGACAGGTGGAAAGCAGGCCCCAGCCGTGGTAAAATCCTCCTCCGTACAGCAGCACACGCCCGGTGGAAGCAGGCCAAGCCCGAAGCGTGGATCCACTCCGTCTCTCCGCGACGACTCCGGGGTAAAAACCTCTCCAGTACAGCCGTATTCTACAGGTGGGAGCAGGCCTCCGTAGATCGCAGATCGCAGAATCGCAGGCAGCAACAGGTGGAGCCGCTCCATCTCTTTGCGACGAGCAGGCCTCCGTAAATCGCAGATCGCATGCAGCAACAGGTGGAGCCGCTCCGTCTCTTTGCGACGTCTCCGGAGGAAAAACGATATATATAATATAATGCAGTACAGTACTATTACGTCTGCGTCTCTGTGTTTCATTAAAGCTCGACTGTGTGTGTGTGTCAAACGAGCCATTTTGTGTGCACGAGCGAGAGAGAGCGCACCGGTACTGGAGATCGTTGTTGTTAGCTTCTGGTGCTAGCGAGCTACGCTAACAGATATAAGGAGTTTTTTCAACAACAAACTGTCAGACTGAGAGACTCACTGAGCTAAAGGACTCTGTCAGTGTTATCTCAGTGGGTCTCGTTTTGGTCACCATTAATGTAAACAATTATTTCCGAGGCACACACATATGATCATTATAGTTATACAAAAATAAGAGAATAAATGAAAAACAGGTATGAAATACTATATGACAGTAAAAAAAAGAATAAAGTTTAAAAGGGTGATTTGTAAAATATCCATAAAGAAAAAGTAAATCTGTTTACAGTTCTGTTTCATATGGGTGTTGAGAGAGGTATCCATAGATCTCTTCATGTTGCTCTCAAAGTGCACCAGATTGATGCATTTAACTTAAATATTTAAAAATAAATCTTCCCGGGGGAGCTTGCCCCCGGACCCCCCTATGTGAGGTCCACACACCACCTGTAAAAATAGCACTTTACCCCTGCTTACACCTATATGCCGTGAGCTGATTATCGAGCCTTCATTGTAACAGTCACGGGTACACTGTGTATATGCGTGTGGGGATTGTTGCAGTAGAACATTCCTCTGTAGCGCCTGGTACATTAATGGGAAACCCTAAATGTTTGAGCACCCTCTATGAAACGTCAAGCTACCCCACAGCACCCCCAAAAGAAATCTCTGGCGCCGCCACTGAGCCTGACTATTTGTGTTGGGGGGGCCCGACTTTTTTTTTTCTCCAAAGGGGGGTCCTGACAGAAAAAGTTTGAGAACCACTGAACTAGGGTAAAGGAAGTGACTGGCAAGAAAATATCTCCATGGAGAAAGGCCATGACCGTGAGAACAGAAAAAAGAGAGTGTTGAAAAGCTGAACGTAGGTGGCGAAAAACAAATCTCCAGGTTCACTTTGAAATCTATAAAGAGAGACTTGGCCTTTATAATTTGGAATTGAAAAACGCACGACAGTCTTTCTTCTCTGACATCATTATCAAAAACAACGCACATGCCTTGTTTTCTACCGTCGACAGACTAACAAACCCCCCAGTGTCAGTAGCCTCTGAATTTCTATCCACCAGGGCGTGCAATGATTTTGCCTTTTTCACTGACAACATTCAGAAAATCAGACAAGCAGTCAGTGCCTCTGCATCAGGAACAGCAAATGTGTTGTCCCTGTGTCCACCTAATATCAATTCAAACACCATGACACAATTCCATCAGATTAATGATAAAAACCTAGAGGACATTATACAACTTCTGAAATCCTCCTCTTGCTGCCTTGATATTATTCCAACAGGATTTTTCAAAAATGTTTTTCGTTGCATGGCCTTAGATCTACTTCATATAGTAAACCAATCTCTTCACTCAGGTATTTTTCCTCAGGCCCTGAAAACTGCAGTCATTAAACTGCTCTTAAAAAGTAATAATCTAGATGCTTCACTAATGAACAATTACAGGCCAATATCAAACCTGCCATTTCTAGGTAAAATCATTGAAAAAGTAGTTTTTCAACAGTTGAGTAACTTCTTGCATTTAACTGTGAATAAGAAGATAATGAAAGCCTGAAGATGACACCTCGACAGTCATAATAATAATTATAAAAACATTTGATTTTACTTTGACAATTTTAAATTCTGCATTGTTTACATCCTGTTTGCTAGGATTTAAATAGGGCCGTTACATTTACACTTACTTACTTTTGTTTTTTGTCTGCACATCTGATTCCTCAATGTCTCCCTCTGGGACTTATTTAAGCAATGTTCTTAGTCTAAGAAATAGTTTGGGTTATTACTAAACACATAAAGGTTTATACAGTTGTAAACCAATCGCAAGTTATTATAAACTACCACTTTGGTGCCCCCTGGTGATATCGCAATACTATAATAAAAAATAAACCATTTCATGCAGTAATGCTCTATTTTTCTATTTGTTGCACAGATGCTGAAGAAGATCACATCAGAGGAATCTGTGGAGGACAGGTCTGCAGCGGAGCTAGACGCACTGAAACACAGAGACTGGGTGAGAGACAGGGAGGACAATACAGCTGTGTGTTTGATTAAAGAAGGCTATATTGTCTTTTTTACACATGTTAATGTGTGTGTGGTTTGGTTTCCAGGCGCGTCTGTGGGTGCAGCTGATGAAGGACCTCAGGCAGGGGGTGAAGCTGAAGAAGGTTCAGGAGCAGCCCTTCAACCTGCTGCCCACCGAGTTCAGCCTCACACCCTTCGAGATGCTGATGCAGGACATCCAGACACGCAAGTTCCAGCTCCGCAAAGTCATGGTGAGAGACTTGGTCTAAAATATTCAAGCCAACCATAAAGAAGAAGAATGGTAATGCCTGACAGCATTCTCAGTTGAAGAGTAATGGATGAATGTGTGTGAAATATCAGCTGTAGAGAAGTAGTGCATTTACACCAAACGCAAAGCTAATTAGCAATGAAACGGCAAATTTGAATGATTTGAATAATCATGTGAGTTGAGATCATTTAACCTGAGCCGGGTTGTGCATGGTGCAGTATCAAAGGAAGCCATAAGAGTTTAGATTCTCCTCTTTCTCATTGACTCAGTTGGATCAGAAATGGAGGAAAACAGCAGCCCTCTGTGGGCACTGGAGCTGCTGGATTTATGCCTGAATCTTTTAATATCAAGTGGTAAAGGAGCAGTTACAATTTCAGCTAACCTAGCCCTGATGCATTCACACTCTTTTTAGAAAACAAGAGTTTTATGAGTGGTTTGCTTGTCCTCTTACAGAAGATCTGACAAATACAGTAATTCATTTTGAAATCACTTTCGGTATGTAGTTATTTAGGCATCCCTGTAATACATTTGTTCAACCAACCAACAAACAACTCACAGCAAAATCGGTTTACTATTGGTTGAACAAGACTAATTTAGCTGTTGCCAGACTTGCTGAAGGCAGTGAATACATCTCTGTGAAACTCAGTGAGCTTGTAACATGAGGCATAAATTCCTTCGCACCCAATGTATATGAAATGTCAGTTGAAGAGATGAAAGCAGATGAAATGGTAAATGAAAGGTAATGTATTCAGCACAGTCATAAATGCTAGAAGCAGAGGAAATGTATGAAAGTACAAGTGTTAGCTGCTGGAATCAGCCGAATCAAAGCATCACAGATCTTGAGGACTCACTTGTGTAACCCCCGGTTACTAAGACACTGAGAAATAACACTGAGTAACATGACAAACAATATCAATTATTTGAAACTAAAATAGAAACAATATAGATACACAATATGCAATTTAGGACAACATGATTTAGACAATTATTCATGAAAACATTTAAATGAGTGTGATTAGATAAATCCCCTGTCCATCTAAAATGGTTGTAAAGCAAGGCTAAGCCAATCAAAGTTCAGACCCGCCCCGTGTCTGCCCGTCTACCAGGAAGTGAGATGCGCTGTATTATCCTTTTGGGACGATGACTCGGTAGCATTAGCACTGTGGATTTTGATTGTAGTTATTCGGACAACTTTTGATGTAGATTGACCGACTTTGCTACTTTTCCCCAAGAGCATTGCCTTTTACGGAGCCTACACACGGCGGCGTGCGTTACCGCTTGGCGGTGGGCGTGTCTTGAGCTTGGGGAGTCAACGCGAGCAACGCGACCAACAACCAATCATATGAATGTCCCGCCCCGGACATACAAAGCAAAGCTCATGCTACATCCATGCTGGCTAAATATACTGTCTATGTCCATAGCTGTCCATTCAAACGAAGTACACTGGATATAAACTCCCCAAACAGGCGAAAACCTACCAGTGTCACCCACTGTCTCTGCCACCTCCCCCCATGCCTGGCTCCTCCGGTTTGTATCCCTGTATGTAAAGAGGGACTGGTCATATAATACCGGGTGATTCACTACCGCCACGATCATTTTCTCCTCCATTTTTTGACATATGGGAAATAACTGCGGTCTGGCTCTCCCAACATACACGTGGTTTGATTGGCTAGCGCTTGTACTGTCAGATTTGCATACGCGGGATTTGATTGGCTGACGCCTCCGTCGAGGCGGCAAAAGTAGAACATTGCTCTACTTTTGCAGCGAGCACCGCGAGAGAAGCTACGCTTTGCTCCCACAATGCAGTTCGGCGAATCATGACGTCACCCCATTCAAAGTGAATGGGCAGAAGCGTTGAAGCGGCAATGCACGCCGCCGTGTGTAGGGGCCGTTATATGATACCCTTGGTCGGGTCTTTTTTGTGTGATGTGAAAGAGATTTTCTGGATTCTTTGACTGGAACGCTGCCCTCATCTCTGCTGGTGTACTGTGGCGAATTTCAGTCTGGCGAGCTACCCATCGACCTATCTAAAGGAAGAGAACTATTACACTACCCACAACGGTGGTAGGACAAGAACTTATGCATCTTTTCCTCTTCACAAGTTGAGAGCCAATAACTGATTGATTGTTGATTGTTTTGATACTATGTTGAATATGTTATAACTATATGTGTATAGAAGTAATGTGATAAGTTTTCATTTTATTTAAGAATTTGAAATAACATTTCAAATACAGAGTCCTGGTTCCCAAAATTAGAATATATAGCTTAGCCACTAAATTTAAATAAAACCATTAGTTTATATTTGTTACGGCCGTTGGCTCCCCGGTGCTATTAACTCTGTTTGTGCATATGTAAATGAGCAGTGAGGTTCCCTGGATGTCATTGGCTGTCCCGCCCTCGCTTCCGGAGAGGTGATTGGATCGACGTCCTCCAATCCCTGTACACATCCTGTCTCTCTTTTCACCTTATCTATGCACCACATCAGCCTGTCATTTTGGGGTTTCCATGGTTAAGAAGGCATAATCCTCATATAGCCAGCAGTGTGAGAAAAAGTTTTTAGAGAGTACTTGTCCATGGACAAGTGAGTTTGGCAATTTACTTGTCCGAATACATTTTTCACTTGTCCAGAATGGACAAAAATTGGGGTCAATGGAATCTTCTTCTTCGCCAATCGTATTTTACATTTTCCCACGGTTTTTACGACACCGCTAACGTAAGTGAGCGGTAAGATTTTACTGCATCACACATAGGGTTGGGTATCATTTGGATTTTAACGATTCCGGTTCTGCTTTTCGATTCCGGTTATTTTCGGTTCTCGATTCCGGTTCTTTGAGAGGGTAAAAATAAGTCCCATGACAAACTGGGAGAAAAATATATTTATGAAAACATTAAGTCAAATCTGTATTCCTATTTACAAATCACTTCATACTGTTTAATTTCTTACGGTTATTGAACACAATTATATAAAAATAATCTCTGCATTGTTTAGTTAGTTCTAAGTGGTGCAGTTTGAGAATGTACAATTGGCCCAGTGTCCTCTGATGTTACACTGCAACCTGCCTGTGAGACAGAGTCCAACAACACATGTCCAACACATAGGACATAACCTAATAATAATACATTATATGTATAGCCTATAGGCCTAGCGCTTTTCTACAACTCAAAGACGCTTGCATGCTCACTGTTTGTAAAAGTAAATAAATAGTATTTTCATTTCAATAATGTAGCTACTTTCTATACCCTGCTTCATAAACAATACTGACATCCCTGTGCTCCTCCGAGTCTGGGGGTCCGGGGATGTGAGGACAGCGCGAGGACACAGACAGGGAGGCTGCTTCACTTCATAAAGGAAATGGCGGTCAATATGAACAACATAGGAGCTAAAACGCTTAATAACCTTCATTACGTGTTAGAGAAAGAACATAAGAAAGTTTGACAAAGATGAGGCTGTTAAACGGGCAGCGGATCCGCTGTGTGTAGAAAGAGAGAGAGAGACGCTGAGCTGCACCGTGCAGCGATCAGATGATCCGGAGCATAGAGAGAGAGAGCTGCGGTCCGCGGGCTCGGCCTCGCCTCCTGTGCTCACAACTCTTATTAATCCCGGTACTGGACAATTGTTATTTGTTCCTACTCGGAACCAAGCTTTGCTTCCCAACCCTGCCACTGTGCTACACTTCCCGCCCCTACCCCGTCTAACTGTACAGAAAACGGCGAGATGCATTTCCTTAGGAATCGACAAGCAGAACCGAAACTAACATTTCTAAATGAACAATGGCGGACACGTACAATTTGCGAATGAGTTCTGCCTTTTGTAAACTGAATTTATCAATAATTTGTCAATAAATTAGGGCGAAAAACGTCACTTGCCCGCCGGACAAGTCAATTGAAAGATCGACTTGTCCGATATTGTAAATAACACGTCCCGGACGGAGGGACGTGTACTTTTTCGCACACTGAGATGGGGCTTCAGGGACTATTAGAGAGTGGAGTGCTCATTGTCATGCTGTCTGCTTAAGATCTAGTTCCTCAATTGATTCCAGTCAGCCGATTACCTCTGAGTGTCAAGACATTTCCGGTGTTCCCAAGGATTACTGGGACCTTAAAGAGGCCTTTAACAAGGTTCTGGCCACCTCACTCCCGCCTCATCGTGCTAATGACTGTTCTATTGACCTGTTACCTGGTACTTCTCCCCCTAGAGGTCAACTTTTTTCTTTATCGGCTCCTGAAACTAAGTCAATGGAGACTTTGGATGCAGGACCTATCCGGCCTTCATCATCTCCTGCTGGTGCAGGTTTTTTCTTCGTGGGTAAGAAGGATAAGACTCTGCACCCATGCATTGACTACAGAGGACTCAATAACATCACTGTCAAGAACAGGTACCCCCTTCCACTTGTTTCCTCTGCATTTGAACTGTTACAAGGTGCTACTATTTTTACCAAGCTGGACCTACGTAACGCATACCATTTGGTGAAAATCAGGGAGGGGGACGAGTGGAAGACGGGATTTAACACTCCTAGTGGACATTATGAGTATTTAGTCATGCCTTTTGGACTCACCAATGCACCTGCAGTCTTCCGGGGGTTGGTGAATGATGTTCTGCGGGATCTACTCAATATCTGTGTTTTTGTATACCTGGATGACATTTTGATTTTTTCCAAGTCAAAACTGGAGCATGTGGTCCATGTTCGCCTAGTCCTCCAGAGGCTCTTGGAGAACCACCTGTTCGTCAAGGCCGAGAAGTGTGTGTTCCACACCACAGAAGTCCCTTTCCTGGGATTTGTGGTCTCCACCGAAAACATCAAGATGGACCCTGACAAGACCAACGCGGTGACTGACTGGCCACGCCCTTCAACACGCAAGGAGCTCCAACGCATTCTGGGTTTTGCCAACTTCTACCGGAGGTTCATTAGAAACTACAGCTTGGTGGAAGCTCCTCTCACAGCTCTCACCTCTCAGAACATTCCCTTCCGGTGGTCCCCTGTGGCAGAAGGGGCTTTTGGTGAGTTAAAATCACGCTTCACCTCTGCTCCTATTTAGATTTTTCCAGATCCTACTCGGCAGTTTGTTGTAGAGGTAGATGCGTCCGACACTGGAGTTGGGGCAGTTCTTTCTCAACGGTCGGCCGAGGATCAGAAGATTCACCCGTGTGCCTTCTTCTCTCGGAAGCTGTCCCCAGCAGAAAGAAATTATGACATTGGAAATCGAGAACTGTTGGCAGTGAAACTTGCCCTGGAAGAATGGAGACACTGGTTGGAGGGAGCAGAACAGCCTTTTGTGGTCTGGACTGACCACAACAATTTGGAGTACATCCGTTCAGCTAAGCGGCTGAACTCTCGTCAAGCCAGGTGGGCTCTTTTTTTCACGCGCTTTGATTTCTCTCTTTCATACAGACCTGGTTCTAAGAACATCAAACCTGATGCCCTGTCTCGCCAGTTCCAGCCAGAGAGCTCTCCATCTCATCCTGAGAATATCATTGCTTCTACATGTGTCATTGGTCTGGTGACCTGGCAGGTGGAGGATAAGGTCAAGCGCTCTCATGCTGAACACTCAGCCCCAAGTGCCTGTCCTGTTAACTGTCTGTTTGTTCCTGCCCCTTATCGTACCCAGGCTCTCCAGTGGGGTCATAACTCTCGCCTAGCTTGTCACTCAGGAGTGAGATGGTCCCTAGCGGAGAAGGATACCAAGGAATTAATTGCTGCTTGCCTAGTCTGCTCCCTCCGGTCTTCTTCATCCCTTGCCTATCCCTCATCGTCCCTGGTCCCACATCTCTTTGGATTTCGTCACTCGTCTACCACCCTCAGACGGTAACACAGTCATGCTCACAGTCATAGACCGGTTTTCCAAGTCTGCCCTGCTGATTCCATTGCCAAGGAAACTGCTGAAATCATGCTACAACATGTGTTCAGGCTGCATGGTCTCCCCAGTGACGTTGTGTCTGATCGGGGACCACAGTTTACTTTTGGTCCGAGTTTTGCAGGCTGCTGGGAGTCAGTGTCAGTCTCTCGTCCGGATTCCATCCCCAGTCCAATGGTCAAGCAGAGCAAATGAACCAGGAGATGGCGACTGCCTTACGCTGTCTTGTCTCCTCCACTTCCTCCTCCTGGTCGAGGCAGCTTCTATGGGTTGAGTATGCCCACAACACCCTTCCTAGTTCTGCTACTGGTCTTTCTCCATTCCAATGCTCCCGCGGATACCAGCCACCCCTTTTCCCTGCACAGGAACGTGAGGCCAGCGTCCCATCTGCACAGGCGTTTGTAAGCCGATGTCGACGTATGTGGTTAAAGGCCCGCTCCGCGCTACTGCGCTCTTCCGACCGTTATCAACGGTCCGCCAATCGCCGTCGCAAGCCAGCTCCACAGTACTCCCCAGGGCAACGTGTCTGGCTCCCCACACAGGATCTCTCTCTCAGAGTTGAGTCAAAGAAGTTGTCTCCCCGTTTTGTAGGCCCATTTCCCATATCTAGGGTCATCAATCCTGCAGCCTGCCCCCTTCTATGAGGATTCATCCTATCTTCAATGTGTCCAAGATCAAACCAGTTAATGTGAGCTCTCTTCAGCCCCCCTCTAGACCCCCACCACCACCCCGGATTGTCGACGGGGAGACTGTTTACACTGTCCGTCGCCTCAAGTCCCGGCGACGTGGTACCTGGTACACTGGGAGGGTTATGGTCCTGAAGAGCGTTCATGGGTGCCCAAATCGCAGTATCTTTGACCCATCTCTCATTACTGACTTTCACCAGGTTCATCCCGATCAACCACGTGGGACGTCAGGAGCCGTCCATAGAGGGGGGGTTCTGTCACAAGTTAGACACATCTATTGTTGTTTGTTTGGTTCATCTTAACTCTCCTGTCATTTCAGATCCCGCCTTCCTCCAGGCCCTTGTAATCAGCTCACTTCCCTCACCTGGTCTTCCCAGCCCTTCCCCTCACCTGTTACTCATTCCCTCATCACTCCACAGTATTTATACCACCTCACTATCACTGGTCCTTTGCCAGATTGTCTTGTCTTTTCCGCCAAGCTCTCCAGTGTGTGTTATTCTCTAGCCTAGATTTTTGTCCTGCCCGGTTTTTGACCCCTGCCTGCCTGTATTCGGATCTCGAGTTCCTGCCTGCTCCCTTTTTGGTTTTGGTTGCCTGTCTGACGGATTTCCTGGTTTTGACCCTGCCTGTCCCAGACCTGAATAAACTGAACATTGCAAAACACTGGTTGTATCTGTGTCGTGCTATTGGGTTCTGATCTGTACCTGTGATCGTGACACAGCCGGCACACAACTTCCGGGGGAGGACTACAAAAGGCTATGGACCGTGAACATTCAGGAGGGTCAGCTGTGTGAAACAGACGCCTGACGCCTCACACATTTTGCTCTTGCTAGACAAATCGGTTAACGGTGGTTAACTTGTGTGTTTTGTATTGTATTGTGTTTAGGTTAGCTTAGCATTAGGTTGACTGTTTGTTCCGTAGTATAGCTGTGTTTTCTAAACAGTCTCTTTTTGTTATCTTGCACTCTTTGACAGCGAGAGTTGTTTTATTACTTTCTGTTTAGCATATATCTCCTTGTATTCAACAAGGCTTTTTCTGTTGGATCTTCATTTAGCATTGCGCCATTGTTGGCTTTTGTTTGTGCCAGGTTGCATGCCTTATTATTTTGCTACTGCTATTACATATATAAAATAAATACCTATACTATACCAATTCCATACTGGTGCATGTTATTCTCCTCTACCCTAGAGAGGGACGTAACAATATTAAATAGGGATAATTAAAACAGAAGTAATAACACTAAATGATATCAAAATAGTTATAAAATAAATAGGTACAAATAATTAAAACCAGGATACTCTCGAATTCAAGGTAACTGAATATATATGTATATCAAATGTTTATCTGAAAGAAAGAGGGAATAAACATTATACCTTTCTTTACCTTTTCCAAACAACGTCTGCTTTGTGTCTTTTCACCTTTGTTGCACAGTATCCATTTTCTCCTGAGCGACCTAGACTTCTGATGTGCTGGTCCACACACTGACATTTCTACATTTATATTAGAGAGGTTTGATCGAAACTGATTCGTATAAATAATTCTGTGCTGCTCAGTATTCACTTTTGGTGCATGTGTTACACTTGACTTTGTTGAAATGAGGCAAGAGGACATGGAGGGCAGACAAGAGTGAGCCTGTGGAGCCTGTGGAGCCTGTTTGTCATTTGAAGACCTTGAAAACACTTTTCTCTTTCAGGCAGTCCACTGCAGCATATACTGTACTACAGGAAGAAAATGTTATGTTACATGCAAACACATTGAGGCCTTCCTTAAGGGCAGATCCATAACTCAGCCTCCACACACAGATATTAATGAAGGCTTCTCTCAGCCTTCTGTTCTCAGCATTTGGCTCAGAAAGTCATCACCAACTGTCAGTCCCCCTCAGCTATATGCAGCATCTTAGCATCATTCAGCCATTTTTTTTGGTTTCCAAAGCTGTGATTAACCCTGTCTCCAGCAGCAGCTGTTTTCAGTCAGCTCTGATAATATCACTGTACACCCGCTGTACACTGCCTGCTCCAAAAATGGCAGATAAATGGCAGAGAGTGTTATCATAATCAATTATTATGCTTATGGTTATTATGCTAGGACCAACAGCTCTTTAGCTCACAGTGGTGTAAAGTAACCAGGTAGATTAAGTTAAGTACTGTACTTAAGTACAATTTGAGGTACTTGTACTTTACTTGAGTATTTCAATTTCTTGCTACTTTGTACTTCTACCCCATTTCAATTCAGAGGTAAGTCGTGTTATTTTCCTCCACTACATGTATTTAATACTTTTAGTTACTTCACAGATGTGGATGAATGATGTGAAATATAATCAAGTGTTGAATCAGACTTTAGTTCCACCTGGAGTAAATCCACAAGCTACCCTGCAGTATACAAAGTCATTCAAACTAGCTGCACCTTCACCAGCTTTGAGAACACTTTCATGATCAATCAAAAAACATATCATATATATGATTCTGAAATAGACGAATATGCATAATGATTACTTTTACTTTTGGTAATTTAAGTATATTTTGATGATAGTACTTTTACTTGAGTAACATTTTGAATGCAGGACTTTTACTTGTAACAGAGTATTCATACATTCTGGTACTTCTACTTTTACTTACTTTACTATCTGAGTAAGCTCACTCTTCAAGAAATGTTCACACCCTTGGCGGCCATAGTTTTCCTGCCCTTAGAGACTGAAATCTGGAGCTATGGAGGTTAAGTGCATGTGTTCACACTCGCAGCTTTTGCAAAAAAAATCAAGATCTGGTACATACCAAAACAGAGCTCAAAAGTGAGCGAATGGCTGCTGCATGTCTGAATGGATAAACACGTTTGCCATAATAACTTGATCAGGTGATATGCCAATGGTGTGATAACAGCTTACTGTATCACTGTGTGATTACAGACACAGAACTTCATCCAGTGTTGTGTTTCTTTTAATACTCAGGTGGATGGTGACATTCCCACGATAGTGAAGAGAAACGGCCATGAACTCATACTGGATTTCATCAGATCAAGACCTCCCCTGAAACCAGTAAGTGGGTTTGGCCTTTTAATAGAACTTCACTGCAGCATCGTGAAGAAGTCAGCACATTTTATTTCTTATCCTATTTAAATAATGATTGTGTTGTTGTTATTTCTCCGCGTAAGGTTTCAGAGCGCAGCCTCCCCCCTCCCCCCCTGCAGGAGCAGTGCCTCCATGATAAGGTCCTGGCTGGGATCAAGCAGGAGAGAAAGCTCCGGCCTGTGCTCCTGCCCAGCTCCAGACGTAAGAGGAATTCACTGTTACAACCGGGGGGGGGGGCCTACCAAAACTGAAGGCCACCATAGGTTTTCATTACATTACATTTAGATGATGCTTTTACCCAGAGCATCTTACAATGAGTGCAATAAACCATAACAATACAAACTCAGTAGACAGAAGATATATGTAGACTTTCTGCTGCCCTGATGTTAGTGGGGAGCTTGTTCTACCATTTAGGAGCCAGGATAGCAAACGGGTGTGTTTTTGATGAGGGGAACCTGGATCACATTCACAGTGGGGAGTAAGGCAAGGCCAGGCAAGGCAAGGCAAGTTTATTTATATAGCACCTTTCAACACAAGGCAATTCAAAGTGCTTTACAACAATGAAAGACATTAAGAAAATGGCATTTAAAATCAGTCATTAAAAAGCAAAGATAATAAAATAAACATTAAAAGAAAAAATACATGAATAAAAGTTACAGTGCAGTTTAAGATATGAATAGTTCAATTAAAAGCAGCGGCAAAAAGAAAAGTCTTCAGGGAGCTGATTGGCTGATAGATAGAATTGGACGATGAAACCCTCTTTAATGGTCACACATGCAGAGCACTGAAATGTAGTCTCTGCTTTTAACCCATCCTAGTACTAGGAGCAGTGGGCAGCTATTGTACAGTGCCCGGGGAGCACTGGGAGTGGGGGTTGTCCGGTGCCTTGCTCAAGGGCACCACGGCAGGGCCCAGGAGGTGAACTGGGACCTCTCCAAGAATCCACACTTGCAGAGCGACGTGCACGTGCTGGAATGTATGGTTTAACCATGTCCTGGATGTAGGAAGAACTGGATCCATTCACAACACGCTATGCGGGTACCAGTGTCTTGAAGAGGATTCGGCAGTGAGGGAGCAGAGGAGCAGTGCAGTGTGGGAGAACAAGTCAGGCTGCTGATTCTGAATTAGCTTCAGAGGTCGGATGGCAATAAAGGTAGACCAGCCAGGAGGTATTTGGAGTAGTCAAGGCTATGGAAAGGGAGGGATGAGCCACAGACTGTATCACTGATATACTGTAGTGGCGAAAATGACAAGGAAATAAAACTGTAAATGAACTCAAAATAAAATGGCAGCTAAGCCACCAGATAGTGAATCTGACGCAGGAAGTGGCGGCTCCAGGGTATGGCTGGGGTAGGCTACAGCCATACCAAGAAATGGCTTAGCCCTACCTTAGCCCGACCAGGAAAAAGTATGTTAAAGTAAGCATGTTGACAACACGGATTGCGAAAATCTACCGGTCGTGTCCACAACACACAAACTGATCCTGCTGTAACAACAAGTGCACGTTACTGACGCAATATGGTTGAGACCATTCAGGCTTATGCTAGAGGGGTGCAAGGAATAGTCTAAGTAGTGGGGGAGTTATATACACTAAAGGTGTGGAAATTCTCTCACGTTATAATATCAGCACAGCCGCGGTCAGATCAAAATGTCAATTTGAATAGACCTACAACCAATCAGAGCAACGAAACGTTGGGTCTGATACGCATTACTGATACGTCACGTTCACAGTGAAAAGTCCCCAAACTCGCGCCGAGTAAATTGCCGACAGACAGCAGAACTTCTAGAATTAATTGTATATTTCGGATGGATAGATTTGTTCTTAAACGCCCTCGCATTGAGGTACAAGTCGAACAGGTGCCAGAGTCACACGACCCACCTGAAGAGTGAATAGTGAGTTTTGAATATATTTTGTAATATGTATGACAATAGAGACACAGGCCACCTGTGTGCTGTGTCTGTCTCTCTCTGTTTACCTGTGTCTGTGCAACACACTCTCACTCCCTAAGCGTCCAGGAGCGACGTTTGGTCAGTGTCCGTGGCGTCCAGTTGTGACGCTCCTAGGCTCCTTCAGTTTCATAAAGGGACGCAAATAGCTTTCAACTGATTGCAATGTATTCCCATCTGCGGCGGGATTTGACGCTCATGGAAGCACGGATACAAGCGGCCGAGATGGGTTTTCTCCGCAGGGTGGCTGGTGTCTCCCTTAGGGATAAGGTGAGAAGTTCGGTCATCAGGGAGGGACTCGGAGTTGAGCCGCTCCTCCTTCGCGTCGAAAGGAGCCAGTTGAGGTGGTTCGGGCACCTAGTTAGGATGCCACCTGGGCGCCTCCCTAGGGAGGTGTTCCAGGCACGTCCAGCTGGGAAGAGACCAAGGGGTAGACCTAGGACCAGGTGGAGGGATTATATCTCTTCGCTGGCCTGGGAGCGCCTTGGGATCCCCCAGTCAGAGCTGGTTGATGTCGCCAGGGAAAAGAAAGTTTGGGGCTCTCTGCTGGAACTGCTACCCCCGCGACCCGACCACGGATAAGCGGGAGAAGATGGATGGATGGATGGATGGAAGCACGGCATTCGTTTGTGTCGGCTGCCCTTAAAGGCAATGTGAGCGTCCATTCTCATTGGATAACGGAGAATTGTACACCCGGAAGTAAGTATTCCCCTTACTGTCGATTGAGTTTACAGTGATATCTGCACTACTCATCCACTCAAAAACACCAGGTTATCCTTGTTGATTACACAACATTGATTGGTTTAAATTGTGTACAATGCTTTTGTAATTTTCCCCTTCGATTCGGAGAAACACATATTTGTTCAGTTGAGGATGGCTGAAGACTCTACACTACCCAGAATCCTCAGCTATCGTTTGGGACTACACCATGTGCTTTGCTTGACAAACCCCATGATTTGTCCTCAAGCTCTGTGATTGGATGTTGGAGTAAGGTGACCAGATTTTCAAAATTAAAACCGGGGACATTTTGAGTTTTGCGGTCAATATATCATTAACATATCCAATTTTCTTCACTGTTAAAGACAAAAGCGGGACAATTCTGGTTCAATGTAATTCGAACATTTGAACTGTTGGATGCAAACGGACGATAGCTCATATGAGACTTCAAAGGTCTTTTATTTTGAAACTGTACATCAGATTGTCCTGATTCTCTCTGAGTGATTAGATTGGGTCACCTGCTATCACCCTGAAGTGAAATAAGACTTTGATACTGGATAGTTTTTGTTTTATTCTTATCTAAAAACCGAGGGATGATAGCTCATATATGAGACTACAAAGGTCTTTTATTTTGAAATTATACATCAGATTGTCCTGATTCTCTCTGAGTGACTAGATGGGGTGTTCTGCTATCACCCTGGAGTGAAATAAGTCTTTGATAATTTGACAATTTTTTATTTATTCTTGTATAAAAACAGAAGGATGATAGCTCATATATGAGATTTCAAAAGTATTTTATTTTGAAATTCTACATCAGATTGTCCTGAATTTCTCTGATTGACTAGATGGGGTGTCCTGCTATCACCCTGAAGTGAAATAAGTATTTGATTGACTTCAAGTGACTCTTTGATTATGGACGGTTTCCATTAAATAATAATCAAAATATAGATGGACAATATATCTAATTTGAGATTTTAAACAGCATACATTTTAAATTGTGCTTCAGAAAGTAAAGTTATTTTAGGAGTGTTGTGAGATGGTGTCAACATCAATTGCAATTAGTCACCCAGTGGAAATGTCAGATATGTCTTCATAACTGTATACTTACATTTTACATTCATTCAGTTATAATGTGGTAGCTATACGTAGTTTGTTTTAAATGATTATTTAAAAACTTGGGTCACAGGTTCCTCAACAGTGCATTACAAGACATCTATCGATATGTGTGTATATCTAAAGCTTTAAACATATTCTGCACATTTCTTATTCTATCTACATACATCTTATAAGAGTATAATCAATATGTATAATATCAGTTAAAATAAGTGCTTCAATATAGTTAACATTGCTGGAAAGTTGATTGTCAAGTTCCAAAACAAACCATGCAATATATTAGACGTTAAGTACTTTGTCAGGCTTAATAGGCACTTATTGTAAGTCGCTTTGGATAAAAGCGTCAGCTAAATGCAATGTAATGTAATGTAATATTTATCTGTAGATAGATACCCCCAAAGCTTTTTTCTTATTTAAAAGAAGACCTTAACCTAAAGTATTCTTTAATGTTTAAATAAAGCCTTATTAGTTTGTCTGTTTTGCACATCCTCCTATCAGGCACTAAACTGTTTTATTGTAGAGATCACTTACAGTATCTTCTTGATATTTTCTATTCTATATTTATATCATTGACCTTCTACTTTCCCACTATTTTGTATGTACTCTTAATATTTAAATGTTTTCATCAAATATAACACATTAAAAAGTGCTTTACAAAAATGAAAGACATTAAGAAAAAGGCATTTTAAACAGTCATTAAAAAGCAACACAATCTACCTGCATTGCAATACTCTAAACGTGTAATAACGTGCTTTAACCAGTAGGAGGTGCGGGTCAAAAAGCTGTCAAGTTTACAGTGTTAACAAAATAAAATATACTGCTGTTTCTGGTTTAGTTTACGACGGATATATTCTGTTATTGTTTTGATATTTGTAACACAAAAGCGATGGAAAAACCCCACAGTAACACAGAAAAGATGGTCTTAACATGACCCAGTGGTCTAGTAGTTATACTAGTATAAAAAACAATAATATCAAAACAAATTATTACTACTAACTTTATTGTGAAATTAAAACAGAACTGTAAGATAATAGTTTCCGGTCTATTCTGAGGCCAGATCTCTGTAGATAAATAAAAATAAAGAACTACGACAGATGTGTAATATTTAATGCAGCCGAACCATTTATTACAATGCATTAATGTGATGACTTTCAAAGAGTAAAGCAAGCACTGCTGAATAAAGTATGATTTTATCTTTTAAGAAACGCTTTTTTCATATGGAATGCAGTTGGAGGTCAACCAATCACAGAGCTTGAGGCAAAGCGGAACAATAGCTGAGGATTCTGGGTAGTGTAGTGTCTTCGGCCATCCTAAACTGAACAAATATTTGTTTCTCTGAATCGAAGAGGAAAAATACAAAAGCATTGTACACAATTTAAACCAATCAATGTTGTGTAATCAATAATGATAACCTGGTGTGTTTA